CATAGACAGTTTGAGCACCTACATATGACTTAGTTGACTATACTTTCTCAACAGCCTCTTAGAACAAAAAATGCTACTAAGGTTGGAGAAGTTGAACAGTTTTCTCTTTACAAATAAAACAGATTGAGGTCTGGAACACAAATCTGCCTGATGCCACAGCCCATATTCAGACGTAGGAAATGAACAGATATTATCAATCACAAGTCCCACCTCCCCCCACCCTCCCAAGGTTATATAAACAATACACAATTTCGGGCAGAGAGGAGACTCTTCAATGCAGCTGCATGTAACTTGGGCAGAGAGATCCAGGAGGTCCAGCTCCCCAAGTCACCCCTACTCCTGAGAGTCGCCTCTCATTCATTATCTTGTAGTCCCGCACCCATGGTCCTGTAAGTAGCCTTAAGAAACTCCTCGGTCCCCCAAACTAGACTTGGGTAGACTCTTTCCTTTGGTGCCCTCTCTGAGGTGAATAAGATGTATTTTATTTTATTGTTGTTGTCGTTTTTTGCTGTTGTTTTCAGGCCTACTCAGGAAGTTACATAAATAAATAGAATATGAACACTGCCCAACAGAACCAAAGATAAGCTGGCAAGGAAGAGTTGTATGGCCCCTGCAGTGGGTGATAAGGCATGAAACTGGTGCAGACCTGCCCGAGGGTGAAGTGGCAGCAGGCCAGTCCTGATATGGCCACCTCTGCCCATGAGCATGGGATGGTGCGCCTTCTTGCTGTGGTGGCAGCTGCATGCTCCCTGCTAGGTTTGGTAAGTCATGCAGCCAAGCCTGTGCAATATGAGGGATCAGAGTCTTTGAGAGGAATCCAAGGTGGCGGTCTTCCTCTACATGGAATGGGGTGACATGACTCCTTGATGGGTGGGGTCTATCACATAAGCATAGGGATGCCCCCACACCACTGCCAGACCTGAGAACGTACTGCCATCCCTGAAAGCAGCAGTGGCACCTTGTGCAGTCTGCTGTGAGCGACAAAACATGCAACAGAGCCTGAGCTGTCCGTCCAGAAGGAACTGGTCCAAGTGCGCAGGGAACAATGTGAAAAGGATAAGTGGGTGCTCCTCAACATCAGCATGGCAGGAAGAGTGGGGTGGGCAGGTGAGGAGGAGAAGGAGGTGCCCTGCGTGTAGAGCCCTTCTAGGAATCAGAAAAACTGGGACTCCTGGGGATAATCAGACAGTGAGAAGGAAACAAGCAAGGAAGAAGTCACAGATAGGCTTCGTTTACATTTGATTTGCATGTGTGTGTGGTATCATGTGTATGCAAGGAGGTATGTGCCTGTGTGTGAACTGGACACAAGAGAGTGTTAGGTCTCCCATTGCTAAAGTGACAGGCATTTGCAGGACACCAGCTTGCTACATGTGTGCTGGGATCTGAACTCAATTCCTAATAATTGCTCAGAATGCACTCTTAACTACTGGGTCATCTTTCCATCCCCACCTATCTTTTCGTAACTCCTTTTTCTGTTTGATAATGTGCTGTTTTTCTCCTATGTCTTACCATATGCACAAGAGTCCGCATTCTGCATCAATTATTATAAAAGTACACACATGAACCTTTTCAGGAGTTGCTGTAAAAAAAATGTGATCTTATGGGCATTGCCACTATTCTTTATTCTTGTTATTATACAAAGTAATGGGCTTCCTACGGCATTTTCAGACATGTATGTCATTCAACCTCCTCTCCCATGGCCTGCTCCAATCATCCCCACAGCCCTGCTGCTGGTTCTCTTCCTCCCCAAATTAGTCCTCTCCTGCTTTCATGCCACGGATATTCTGCTTTCTTCTCTTTTAACACACCACACATACATACATTTAAATCTGGGTGTTTAGGTGAAGTTGAACATGCACTATTTGTCAGAATCTGGGTTATTTCATTTAACATAATGTTTTCCTGTTCCATCCATTTTCCTACAAATGTCATTTCATTTTTTTACAGCTGAATACAATTTCATTGTGTATGGCACATATTTTCATTTTCCATTTATCTGGTGATGGACATCTAGGCTGATCACATGCCATGTACTGTGACTAGCACAACCATAAACATGCAAATACAACCATCTCTCTGGTATGTTAAGATTTGTTCAGATATATACCTAGGAGTATATGGTGGGGTCATATGTAGTTCTACTTAGTTTTATTGAGAAACATCTATGATTTCGTCTTGGCCTCACGAGTTTATGTGCCTACTAGCAGTGTATCGTCTTGGCCTCACGAGTTTATGTGCCTACTAGCAGTGTATAACAGTTCCTCTTTCCCAATGTACCTGCTAGCTACTAATTGTTGCATGTGGATTCTGCATCCTACTACTTTGCTGAAAGTGTTTATCAGATCTAAGAGTTTTCTGGTGGAGACTCCTGGATCTCTAAAGAACCAAATCTCTCTTAACACTCACTTTTCATCTCTAATTTTTAAAATTTGGGTCTTCTTGCTTGGTTAATTTGGCTAGGAGTCTGTCAATCTTGCTTTTTTTTTTTCTTTACTGATGCTACATACTGTCCGTTTAGTCTCTATTTCATTAATTCCTACCCTGATATTTATTAATTTTTGTTATCTACTGTAGGGATTTGGCTTGTTCCTGTTTTTCTCAAACACCAAGATATCTCATTACATTACTTACTTAAGTGTTCTTTGATTTTAAGCATAAACACTCATAGCTATAAACTTCCCTTTGGGAATTGCCTTATCTACATGCTAAAAGTTCTAGTCATCCAAGATGTATTGTCTGGTCTCAGTATTTGCACAGTTTCTGTACTCTTTCTTGCTAGGGAC